AGTTTTATAAGCATTAAATGACTACCTTGCCTTGACAGGAAGAGAGAAATGGAGAAAGATTAAGGCCATGCAGAAACAATGACATTTATGTTGGCATGTTGTTGGATCACTTCCATATCCAATCACAGCTCGGAGCCCGTTATCTATTTGCTTCTACACCTGACAAAGTCATATCCATACTCCCAAATCTGCTTCAAATGCCACCTTCATCAAGCTTTTATTGCCCAGTCCTGACCTTTAGGCAATTAGTTTGTATTCCCATCCTCCACCACAATCATTTCACCTGCCACAATTGTACTTAGCTGCTGGTATGGTTCTTTTCTATACTGCGCCGTATAGACATTGTATTTTATTCTTCTTTATCCCCACAGACTCTGATGTAGTTCTTGACACTTGATGAAGACTCAATATGAGTAATAAATGGATGGAAGTATGAATGTAAAATTCACTCATTGAACAATTATTTACTCAGCCCTACCATGTTTCAGATACTGCCAAGGTGTTAGGAATTTAAATTGGCAAAGTAGACAGACAGACCCAGTTTCTATATGGGGCTTGGAATCTAGAGAGAGAGAGAGAGACAGAAAAAGTACAAGCCAGCAAATACAAGATTTTAAAATAGTGGTATGTGCTGTGAAAAAAAATAGCGCTGTTTCAAAACAGTGAAAATCTACTTTTGATAGAGTGGTCAGGGAGGCCTTTGTGAGTCGCTACTGCTGTGAGAGTAGTTATCTGAGGATGAGAAGAGATTAGCAAGAGATGTTCCAGATTTAGAAGAAAATATGGTAAAATGTCCTGAAATAGGAAAGAACTATTAAAAGAACTAAACTGTTAAAAGCAGTGAAAGAAGGAAAGGAAGACAGGGGCATGGTTGTCAAAAGAGAGACTTGTAGGAAATGAAGTTTGAGGTAGGGAGAAACAAAATCTCATGAGCCATAAAAAAGTTTGTTTTTCAGCTTTGAACATAGTATGAAACCAATTTCTGTTTTATTAACGCCTCTCTGGTCACTATAAGGGAAGGGATTTTGAGGGACAGGAATTGGGTGAAGGGAGATACAGATTAGAAGATAATTGCCCTCTTGCAGGGGGGAAGAGGATAAAGGCTTAGATCAGGATGGCAGGAATGCAGATTGGAGACAGACTGGAGAGAAACTTTGGAGGAGGGATCAACAGAATGTAGGGAGTCATTGGCTGTTTAAAATGAAGAAGAGGAGGAGTTAAGGATCACTTTTAGGTTTCTAACCTGAGCAACAGATGGTGCCATCTGTTTACAAAGAAAGGCCTCATTACTAAAAGTTTTGGGAGATGTAGTGATGATGAAAATGGAGAGTTGTTTTGAACATGTACACCTTAAGTGAATCTAAGTAGCATTATCAAGTGGTTGATTAGATAGAGTGTAGAGATCAGAGGAAGGGGATTGGGAGCTATTGCCGTACAGTTGGCATTGAAAGCCCTAGAAAAAGGAATGAATAAAGAGGTTCAGAATTAAGCTTGGAAACAACAGTCACCAGTGATCTCAGCTGTAATTCAAAAAGATCAATCACTGAACTACCTATGAAACAGATTTGGGAATGGTAGAGAATATGGTAGGAAGAGCAATTGAGAGTCTATTGCATTAGGTGAGCCAAGGGGCAATATAGGCCAAGACTAGAGTAAGAACTGATCCTTCGTCTCTTCTCATCATATACTCTCTTAGTGGCAGCCTCATTTCATCTGCTAATGTTAACAATTACTCTAGATTTATACTTTAGTCCTAATATTTCCACTTATTGCTGGATATATCATTCTTGGTACCTCAGAACTAAAGTCTCAAATCCAACTTATTTGTTCCATTTACACATATAGTTCTTTGTATACTCCAACTCCCATTGCTGGCACCCCAGGCTTCTCAGCAACCATTCAGTAAAAGGTCGATTTGTCATTGACTATAGTTCCTTTTTATTTTTCTTAATAAGTAAATTGTTAAATCCTATTGTTTATACATCTATAATATTATTTAAGCAGGCTAAGTTTGCATTTGTAAAATAAAATACTTTAAAACTATCCACTATTATTATAGATGATAATAAATAAAATTCTTTAAATCAAAGATTCAGTGTTGCTACTATTTTAAGAATTGTATTTTCTTCAAATTTTTCTTCTAAAAATGTATCTTCGGACTGAGATACATTGTGAGAAAAAGTTAAGACATTCTGCAGAGAGATTTTAAACTGGCAAAGTCATTCAGCCTTAACAGAAGGAACTACTTTGATTCTATTTTTATCACCATGTGTAGGAAGGAATCACTGAAAGCAGAGTTAGAAATAGAAATGGATAGAAAGACCTGGACTGTCTAATTCATCTTGTTTGTTCATTTGCTATGTCAAATGCCTATTTGATACTGTGCAATAAAAATTAAAACATTTTAGTCATTTTCTTAAGTTGACTTTTTTTGAATGTCTCTGTCTTGTTCTATGAACCCCTTTCCATGTGTCCTATAATGTGAGAAGTGTTTCTCTTCATACGCAGAAATGGCCTAGAACCTCAAAGGGATGAAGCCCAGTTATTTTTTTGTAGTAATGATGAATCCACACTAAGTCAACCACATTAAGTGATCCTTTTTTAAAAAAGTTTTATTTATTTATGCATACAAGAACTGGGGTACAGGCCAGAGGTGCAGGAGGTGAGAGGATTCACAATAGACAGAGTGGGGAACAGAACAGGCAGATTGACTGAAATACATTGCTGAGGGGAGCAGTGGGCGAGTCAGGAGAGGTCTGCTGCACCATGTGGGTAGCTCCCTGGCCAGGGATTGAACTTGTGGTGGCTGCAGATAGCTTCATGGGTTGCATCTTAACCCCTTGCACCACCAGGGAGGCCCTTAAGTGATCCTTTTTATGACCAGTGTCCCACATTTGTAAGATCATTATTCAGAATAAGCAGTAGTCTAGTTTGTCACCTTAGAATAGTTAAAACTAATAGGAATCTCTAAGAAACAAATATGCCCCTTGGCACCTAATGGTACAGATGCATTAGTCTAATGAAGTTTCCAGTGGAATAATCTTATAATTCCTATAGTTTTGACCAAAAGAGGACTATATGTATGGGTGGTATATGGGAAGAGTATTGTTTTTAAGTTCTTTAATTATTGTTCAATATCTCATAGTTATCTCATATTTAACCACCTAAGAATATCACATGCTCTTTTTGAAAGATAAATTCTTTTTTCTTTCTTTCTTTTTTTTTTTTTTTTTAGTCATTAACTCCCAATAGTCAGTTTTATGCTACCTCTCCACCCCCATTAAAAAAAAATTCTAAGGTCAGTAATTATTATTTCTAAAATTGTATGATATTTACTAACCTCTTGATTGGGTCTCTTCTATGATGCCATTAGTATGCACCCCACCTCCTTGTTCACATCATTAATAAATATGCTAAGTAAGTCTAGAGCTTGCATTTCTTTTGTGCCTTCCCACCAGCTGCATACCTTCTCCCCAAATAGGATATACTCAGTGTAACATTGTCCTTTGTTTATAGTGTTTATTCTTGTTGTTTGTTTTGTGTTGATGAATAGGCAATTCATTGTTTTATCTTTTTATTTTTCAGTTGAGTCTATTCTTACTTAAGTCAATTAAATTAGGCAAGAAAAGTTCTCATAAACCAATACATAGACTGTATTTTTTAACTGATTTTTGAAACCTCAATTATATGAATATAGTAATTTAGCATTTTTGAAAGTTATTTCTTAGCAATCTAGATCATTCACAATTAGCTGCTTGTGGAAAGCAACAGCATGGGAACCCTAGAATGACTTGAGATTTTACATTTCATAAGTTACTATTTCCTTTACAAAGTCCTGATTTGCCCTTTTTAAGCAGCTGCCACTTTGGTTTTTTTTAAAAAACACTTTCTTTTTCTCTATAGTGGAATCTGTAAAACTAGAGAGTAGGCAAAAGGCCTTGTTTGGCTCTGGACACAGAGAGTAGAAGGTCATATCTGACTCAGCTTTTCTTACATGTTGCAGAATTCTGGCAACTATCCAACAGCTGACCCAGAACTATTTTTCTTAGGCGAATATGTAATTAAGTCATAAAGAAGTAGCAGTTTTAAGCCTTATCAGAAATATTAATGAATGTGCTTGGACTTAGTGATCTGTGCCAAAAGAAATAAGAGTTCCTTTGGTCCAAAGTGCACATGAAGTCAACATTGCCCCCTCCCCTTTACCATGGTAAGCATGCCACTGAAGAGATTTCATTCCTGATCTCATCTGGTCTTCCAGGGAACCCTAAAGCCACGGAATCACAACAGCTGCAATAAATAAAGCATCTATTCAATTCATTTCCATGCCAAATATTATTCAGCATTCTTTTGACCTTGGATTGATAGAAAACAGCATGGTGAACTTACTACCTCTTCTTTACCACAATGAGCCCCAAGTAATTAGGAAAGATTGAACAATTCAAAGCCTACATGTAAGCAAAATCACTATACCCTCTATTTTAAAATTATTAGGATAATAATATAAAGCCAAAAAATGTAATAAAGGCAGCCTGCTGTCACTATTGAGGAGGTATTAGAATTAGTGCTAGGCTTTTTTATTCTCCTCAGGGACGATAATGAGAAGCATTCAGAATATGTGTCCATGCAAATATATGGGTTGGAAGGGGATCTTTAAAAAATAAATGTTACATATGTGGCAATAGGAGGAAGAATATTATTAAGGAATTTCACAGAATTTTTATGTAAAGTCTCATCATACAGTGTTATGATCTCAGGGATATTTTGTGATATTTACTGAGTCTTCTGAGAGTTCATTTATTCAGGTCATATTTTAAGAAGGAACTTATAAGATTCAGATCTAAAATATAATTTGTAATATGCCCAGCTGATCCCATTAAATCCAACCCAAAAAGGAAGGGTATAATGATGTGAACAATTCCCATTCTTTGAGTTGTTACACCTCACTTGAAATGCATTCCTTCTGGATTAAAACAGCAATTCCTCTTTTTTTCTCTCTCCAGGCTGAGGTTCAACTATGCTACCTGGAAGCACAAAGAGATGCTGTTGAACAGATGTCCCTCAAGCTGTATAGCGAGCAGTACACCAGCAGCAGCAAGAGGAAAGAAGAGTTTGCTGATATGTCAAAAGTTCATTCAGTGGGAGGCAATGGGTAGGGAATATTCTTTTTGTTATTTTACTAATCTTTACTTTTCCCATGATTTTCCTGTTAGGCAGGCATTTCTTCCCCAACTAACAAAGAAGAAGAAAAGCAGTAGATTACCCATTTATTTTTTTCTATTCATGCTGGAATTGAAGGTTGGGTTTTATCAGCTTCTGTCATCTAACCCAGAACTTCCTAATTTTGTTATTGTTTTTCAAAACAGCCTTGTGATCTTGCAAGGGTTATTGTAACTTTATTCTGCCTGTAGTATTGATCTTCTTTCTTTATAATTTTTCAGTGTATTTACCTGTTTTTAAATGTCACTATTTATTTTAATGTCTATTTAAGGAACTCCTAAATACCAGGACCTCATTGGAAACTTTGTAGAACGTAATTTTCCTGGAAAATGTAGATATTTAATAATTGTTTACAGATCATGGGCTAGCCACTTAGTTTCACATACAGTCAATTGGAAAAATAGAGTAGCACTTGCATTGATTATAGTATGTGAAAGGACCCAGCAACTTCAGTGACCCATCAACAATTTCATTCAGCCTGAGACATATGGCTGTATTTATTTTATAGTAACTACCCATACTATTAAATTGTTAAGTCATGCATGCAGGTATTTCCAAATAACTGTGAAGTTATATAAATGTGTGTGTGTGTGTGTGTGTGTGTGTAGTCTTTTCAGGCTCAATTCTAATATTTAGTAGATGATTATTAAAAAGTAAAAGAGTAGTAATGAAATTTAATTATTTTATGATTTTAACAACTTGATAATAATTATACTCATAAAAATGGAAACAGTAACCTATTTCATTTTTATACTTGAACCAGACAACATGGGGGAGAAGATACTTCCCCAACTTCTGTTATATATGTTAAGAGCATCATATGAATTTGTGAGACTTAACTCTTGCCAAAATATTCCCTGAAAAGGCAAGAGCAAAGAAATCTTATCATGTACTAGTTTGCATTTATCTTTTAAGCAGTTATAGTTCTAGCCCCTTAAAATCCTCATACAAATTTTTTGGATAAATTAAGTACATGGATTGCAAATTCTGTCTTGTGTTAAAACTAAGCTCTAGGGATACAGAGAAAGGATCAGAGCCATGATTCTGTATAGGAAGTGGGAAAGAACTTTTAAATTGTCAAGTTCACACACACACACACACACACACATATACACCACACACACACATATATATATATTTATATATATAATTTGTAGTTTTATCAGGATTTTTTTAATGCATAGACGTGTTATGTGTATATTTGATTCATCTTCAATTATTCAGTAGACACAAGACAGAAGCTTTGCAACAAATAAGAAAGAATAGGTTATATTTTGGAGCATGAATAATAAGCTGTTTTGAGGACTTAATGTGCTTTAATTTCTCTAAATGCCTAAATAGTCTCTGGTGTACATGCAAGCACAAACTTTAGGTCACATTTTTATGTCTTCTAAAAGCCCTAGGGATTGAGTGGGTACCACATGCTTCTGACCTCAGATTCCAAGGCCCCAACCTGAGTACTTACTCTGGGCTCCACAATTCATAAATCTGCTCTGGGAATTGCTTAGTTAACAACAAGCATTGTTCTGAGAAGTGGGAGTAGGTGAACTTGCCTGATATCCTTTGTTTGTGCTCCTTGGGGTACTGAAGACTGTGTATTGTGCAGAAATTTAAGAGTGCACTAAAGAAAAGCCAGCTATTTAATACTAAGAACAAAATCCATATACTCCTTTCTATTTTCTGTTTACATACAGAAAAGCATTGTTTGACAAATGTATGTGGGTGAGGTTATCTGGGGTGTTGTGCCCCTAAGACACTTTGCTCCCACAGTTAAATCCTTAATTTTGAAGCCTTAAGAAAACAGCCTTGTAAAAATTATCTGCTCCAATGATACATAAACTTCATTAACCATTCCTTTTGTTATATAGAATGAACATTGTTTCTGATAAGCTATTGTGGGAATAGTGTGGGCTTTCCAGGGTCTTCATTCCATATGCAGATAGTCAATCACTAAAGAGGAAATTAAGTTGATGATACAATTCATATATTTTTATTTCCTTCCCATGCCTACATGCATGCTAAAAAGAGTATGTAATTGAAAAATGTATAATAAGACTATTCTAAGGAAGACTCAGTGGCTAGACAGAATGGTGATCTTAAATTTCTAAGAATATTACATAACCAAAAATATATCATTTAGAAATGAATTTATAGCTTCTCTGATTTGATAAAAATATGAGTAGCAAGGTGCTATAACAGTTTATATCCAATTTATAACTGCATGTTTAATAGTCATGGTGGAAGATTTCCCCAAATGTATTTCAGGCTATAAGAACTCTAGTATCGGTTATGTGGGCCTCTAGGAGATAGTTGATAAGTTGATAGTGGATCCAGCATTGCAATGTGGGGAACCATGGCTTCCTGGAGGGACATGCAATGTGTCCCTCCATGCAATGTGTCCCTCCATGCAATGTCAGTAGTGATTGTCAGTGGGGTAGAGTGCTGCTTTTTGATACCTGCTGATATAAACAAAAGAAGTTATACATTGTTTTATTTCTTTCATCCAATAAATATTCACAGAAGTCCTACTATGTACATAGCATGATGCTCTGAACAGTTTGTCAAGAATGCTTACATTTTAAATACTTTGTAAAATGTAACATCTCTTTTCCCAACACTTCTGTCTATTAAGACGTTGTCTCATTTCCATTTTCAAATGAATTTCAAAGATGCTATTTAATTCATTAAGAAGAATCGTACTTGCTGCCAAGACTCAGTGTAGATTATGAAGCATGCCTTTTGTTCAGTTTATAAATGTTAGAACTGGGAGACAAAAAAGGTAGGTAACTGGTTTGTACAGGATAATGGTGCTAAGATTTCAACATAGAACCCTAGGTCAGAAGGTAGTGAACCAATCATAGTCACATGTTGCCCTTTCTTTGAGAATTTCTGTAGAATTCCATTGATAGGCACTTTCCCCCCTAAATTTCATACTGTGAATATTCCATAATGTACGAAATTTAAATAACAATATCTTCCTCCATGGAAGAATCTTAAGGAAATTTCATTAAAGCCATAAGGAAGTTTGGTCATAAGCATTACAAGGTATTTGTAAGTGAAAAGAAAATTGACTCTCATTCACTAGTTGACAAATATTAATCAAATACCTCCTATATGATGCACAGAGATTAAAAGACAAAAATGAAATGGTCCAGCATTTGAGAGACTCACTGCTTTATAAACATCCATAAACAACATGGATTTAAAGGATCTCAAATGATGAGTTAGACATCTGTATGGAGGGTTGGTATCATTGAAGCAAAGCTCAATTCTGACTGTGGTGAGGGGAGTTGGAATAGGTCAGGAAAGCTAGTAGAGCATAGGGGATGGTTTTGGAAATAAGGCTAGGGAAATAACTTTTCTATTTAATCTAAATACCTACAAAAATAGACCACAGTCCTTTCTTCCACGAAAGCTATAGTCTAGCAGAAAGTATAGTAGTGAGCCAGTACTTTCTTGTACAGTGAGAGAGGAGGAAAACAGAGGGTGCTAGGAGAACTCAGAGAAAATAGATGGACTTTATGAGGCAGGGCTGTGTCTGATCATGTCATGTACACTGCATCTGTTACAGTACTAGAATGAATAGGTGTATATATGAATAACTAAAACTGATCTGGGGCTATTAAGCCTATTAAATTGGAAAGTGTGGGGATGGGGACCCACAATCTTTTACTTAAGAAGCTCTCTGACACTGAGATTTGAAAGATAATGTTTTTGTTATAAGAGATTTTTAGGTTAAAATTTAATGGAAATGTGGAGACTAAAGCTAGAAAGAATCAATAAGCCTTGGTAGCCCATCACCTGAGGGGAATGAAGGAGAGAAAGATGCTAATCTGATGTTCCAGTTGTTACCTCAAAGAGGAGAAAGAAAATAAGGGGATTCACATTCAAATGATTTTCGTATCATTCATCACTTAATAATTATTGAGCAACTATTAAGTGCAAACTATACTGGGCACAGGGGCTGTAGAGACAATGGGAAGCAAAGGGTGTCAAGTGTATGTAAATCAGGAAAACCCTCAGGAGCAGTGTCAAGAAGGATGGCCCAGGGTCAGAAGTGAGGAGAATGTTTCTCACAGAAGAGGCAGTGTGTACAAAAGCTAGAAATACTAAAGGATACCCAACATGTCTAGATTGGTGGGCTTAAAACAATAGCCATGCAGCAGTGTGGAGAACAGATTGGTATGGGCAAGACTAGACACTGCTTAGTTAAGAGTTTATTCTATTCATCCAAGTGAGAAAGTTAGAACCTGGGGCTATTTTATTCATCCAAGTGAGAAAGTTAGAGCCTGGGGCCTCCCTAGTGGTGCAGGGGGTTAAATATGGCACCGTGAAGCTATCTGCAGCTTCTGTAGCAAGAGTTCAATCCCTGGCTGGCAAGGGAGCTATCAGTGTTGTGCAGCAGACCTCTCCTGTCACGCCCACTGCTCCCCTCAGCAGTGCATTTCAGTCAGTCTGCCTGTTCTGTTCTCCACCCTGTCTCTGGTGAATCCTCTCAATCTCCCCACCTCTGGCCTGTACCCCAGCTCTTGTTTGCATAAATAAACAAACAAACAAACAAACAAATAAATAAAAAGAAAGTTAGAGCCTGAGCTAAGACAATAATAATGGAAACTGAAAGAACTGATTTGATAGGTCCTGATCACCAAGTGGATGCAGGTCTTGAGGTAGGGAGTATTTAATAATGGACCCCCATGTCTCAGGCTTATGCACTCTGGCAGATGGGCATGGTATTCATTGAGGTAGGGAATGCAGGGGAGGAGCAGGGGGTGTGGAAGGGCAAAAGAAACTGAGCAATCTGGGACATCATTCTTTTGATGGACTGTGGGACATCCAAGTGTAAAAGTCCAGAAGCTCAGGAATGTTTTGGGCTCCTCAATCATCAACAAGGACTGAGTGGTATACTGCTAAGTGAGGTAGAGGCTGAAAGAA